GTAAACCCATCACATCCTCGAGCGCTGCTACTGATCGTCCGCGACAGCTTATTCGGGAGCCTAAGCCCACCTTATTCACTGTTAGCTGTTAGTTGATGGCCGTTCCCCTATTCGCCACCTGAGGACGCGCTCGGTAGCATACAGCTCTGTTCTCTACGTATACTCGTCTTAATCATTGTGTGATAAATAATATAAATTGCCTGTTTTCTTGTTGGTGCTCACGACGGAAATCAGTTTTACGAAACTGTGTGAACAAGAGGGGCTGCGGAATCCTTGTACAGTAGAATAAATCTCAGTTTTGTGGCGGTTTGCTTCGTACATTTGTATTACACAGTGGGATGCATATCTGTGTTTTTAAATACATGCATCATATTGGTGAGTGCTTACATAAAAAAACTGGTAAATAATAGATTTTTTCCTGGAATATGAATGTGTCATGAATACTACTGAAAAGCCATAGAGGCTTATCTCTCAACGGTTCCGTTCTTCATGTGTCCATCAATCATTTTGACTGCACGAACTCAACCACGGCAAGTTGTTAGTTCTATGCTTTATCCCCAGGTCAACTGGTTTGCCTCGAGCAATACTCCATAATTCTGTGCGTATCCTACCAAATGGCACTTGTTTGTTTGTCACAGGTATATGCTGATTCGCTTTTTAACCATTCTATCTCCTATAGAAATGAATTAATAAGTTTGATATCTCAGTGAACCTGCTGCTTGTTGAAAGGTGTATTGTTCTACTCAGGATTTGGCATTCAGTTGTAAGTAAAGATATCCACCATGATCATGCATTTGACGGTCTGCCTGCGAGCAAACAAAATGATATACATTTACCTCAGAGCGACTGCGAATTTCTACCGGAGCTGAAGGGCTTTATCACAAATGACTCATCGCTTATAAGTGTACCTGTCCGGTACATTGACTATTCAAAGTGAACCTGTAGTCGTTTACATAAGCGAATGTAAACTGTCCCATTTTCTGGTAACGAACAGTCCACAACAGTTAAACACATCAACCAATGAACAATTACGTTAGTAGCGCTAACACAACAGTTGCGAATGTGGTGTTATAAATCATGCCAAATTTGTTAGGGAACCAAGTCGTCCACTTCCTCTTGTCATCACTGCCCATTTAATGACTTCAGATTCTTGTGTTTGACATTCAGGATGTCAATAGTTTTATCCACTTCTGACAACTGTAACGGAGCTGTTTTCCGCCCTGTATAGGCAATTCTAGCGGCAAACAAAATATTTTCACAAATTGTAAAAAATAGAGAGTGAAGTTTCGCTAACTGCTGCCAAGCGCGCAATGTATACAATATGGATATGAATATGCGTCAGTTTCTACACGAAGTCTAATAGTATTCAATATTGCATTATTTGCAACAAAAGCAAACTCTTATTAGAAGTAAATTCGTCTCTTAAGCTTCAGAAGTGCACAGGTATCTACGGGCAATATACCAAAGTATTCAGTTTTTGCGAGTCATTTTTGACTTTTTTTAGGCTTCAGTGTTTTATAATCGATATGAGCCATATGACTGTCCTACCGGCCGCATCGCTTACTCTGGACTACTGCGGCCCGGTTTTCATCAAACAACTGGATGCTATGGCGACAGTATTGATAGTTAAGTTTACTAAAAATCCAAGGTGCCAGTCTGATAACTTTCTCACGATGTTTGTTTTTGCAGTGGGTAGAATCGTGGGTAGATCGCTTGGCGTAACAGGTACTCTGTCTAAAGAATGGAACAATATATATACACCAATCCTTACACATATGGCGTCAAAGTAACCGAGAGCTGAAAGATAAATACAGAAGCAAAACAACAAAAACGATCAACAAATCGTTGCCAAAGTCATTGGTCTATTGATGCGACCGTAGATTCTGTTGACTTGAGCCAGGAGCGGAACAACAGTACCAAAGCGTCTATCTTTTGGTGTTGCATTGCATTTTAGTTTGCATGCTTGTGTAAGCATCTGAGTCGACATTTCAGTCAACAATGCTCGCCGTTACACTGAAAAAAGATTCGAAACTAAATGTAGAAGATCATCTCTGTAAACGTGTAATGAGTCCACTTCGAATGTTTTTCAGGTAAAATGCAATAGGGTACTGTCGAATGATGATGAATATTTATGCAGAATACGAAGCTACAAAAACTGGACCACGTGAAGGTGAAAATTCCAAGTGGACAGATCGAGAACGTAAAATTGGCCGGAGTCGTCCAGATATTTGTTAGTAACGGTGTCATAAAGGATAATGGTACGAACACAACTTTGTAATTAGTGTTGTTGAAAGTGAAAAAACATGACAACTAATTGCCGAATCGCGGCAAAGGGTAATCGAATTATTTGCAAGTCAGGAAAAATTACGTGTGAACAACCGTAAAAGTGTGGTAGGAAAAATCCTCTTCTCAAGCATCTTACCTTTTGCCTCTAACATTTGTGGTAGCTTGAACAACAGTAATGGAAAATAACAAACTATTTGCTGCTAAGTCGGATTGACTAGGTGTTTATATCAACGTGTTTGTTATGCTAAGTTCGTCTTATTTCTTTGAAAACGCTTCATTTGAATAAGAGGTGACATGTTCCTTGATTGTGGCGTGATAACAGAAAGCTTTTATCAACAAGCCATCCAGTTCAGCAATTGATACATAATCAGGAATCATTCAGTCCCTCTCTCATTCAACGGTGTTGAACAGAGACGACTGCGTAAAATTGCTTCCGAGCACTGCCTGCGTTCTGCTTCCAGCTTTGTCGTAAATGCCATAGAGAAGGATAATGGCATTATAAGTCACTATACATCTTATCAAGCGCCCGACTATCGGATAGAGTAACGTAAACAATTATCCTGCCAAACTTTAAGAAAGTCCACTGTGCCTCAGGTGGCTTTTAGACTATTTAAAAAAAGGCTGGGACGGACTTCATGAGAGAACTCAAAGCTTGTTGTTCTTTTAACCGTTTTCGAAGTCTCTTCGAGTTTGTCAAAATAAACTAAACCTTTTTGCAAATATAACTGTCAAGTATTGTTTCAAGTTATCCCAGTATCATTTCAAGCTGTCCCATGGATCTCACCAGACTTCAAGTCTCATAGCGGTCTGAATGATCAATATCCGGAACTGATTTCGCAACCCCTTTTTGATTTTCGGAGGAGACGGTGTCGTGACCTGCATCAGTTACACATCTTAAATCCCAAAGTGTATCTCTACCGTTTCCCTTGCACGTTCGGTAACGCGTCTGCATCCTACTCTCTGTTTGTTTCACTGATACCGACGGATCATGTTCGACCGATATACGCTTTTTCCAGATTGATATTCGGAATAAAATATCTATCAAATCAACTGCGCTTAGAATTCCGTAAAGTGAGATGAAGACAGGTACTTTAAATTATGTGATGGTTGCGTAATTTTATAACAAATTCTCCGTTCAAAAATGCGCTTTTCTGAGTATGGATTGTGAATTCGA